AATCTCAACAAAACAATTCGCCCAGCTCCCAGAGCGCCTGTACGAATGACCGGACGTCACGTCCGCCTTCTTCTACCCCGCAAATAACAAGCCAACTAACGAGACCACCAAAGCGCTCGCATAAAAGCACAATGTAGGCAGCTGTGTGTCCCAACCCCAAAACTGAGGCTGAAGACCAAGTGTATGTGGAAGCTGTACATATATCGGAGGATAGCAGTGATGAGTACCAAATCTCCTGAGGCTCCTCAGAATCAGAATCAGAAATTGACACTGATGTGGAAGACATTGATCCCAGTGATGGGGGAGCAACACCACGCCGTCACGGGTCGCAGACAGCGAACAGAGTGGATACCAACCGAGGGAAAACAGTTCGGATTTCGACTACTGCTGGATCACAGCGATTCAGCCCTTCACTGCCGATACCCGCTGTCCCTGCCCACATCATTCGCGGTAGAGCCTCCACTCCTAGTGTTCCATCGTCAAGCTCAGCAAGGAATTCGTCTCCACCGGGTCGCTCAAGTATGCTTTCCTCGCATATCAGAAGCTCTAGCCCGGCAGATTATCTAGATGTAGCCCGACTCGACGTTAACTGGCACGGAAGTAGCAGCCGGCAGAATAATAATACAGGACCTGAAAGTTCTATATTATGGCTGGCCAGGGATCTGATTCTCCAATACACTCTTTTTGATGACCCACTGCCTAATGTAGTTGTTCTGACGGCGAAGGTGTACAGTGTTTGGGAGGATTCATTGAATATGAATGAGGGTTGCGGACGTAGTGAACCATCCGAGGATAGCATAACAATAGTAAGTAATCCCAGCCAGATGTCTGGACACATGCCAAGTTATAATAACCTTGATAGATACGCCAAAAGCACTCAGGCGTAAGGTCACAATTTTTTTATCATATGAAGCATCACATAGTAAAGTTATATGAACTGCCACTGCCACAAGCTGCAGCAGCCATCGCACGTAGAGTTGATTATCTTCTGGAAGGAGACCTGTTCATGTATGACCCGAAAGAGTATGAGGTTTGTTACCATGACGACTGGCAAGGGCTATTGGGGAATAATACCACTAACTATGTAAGAATTTAGACAGCGTCTGATCCTGCGATTCCTTGCGCCCCAGATCCCTGAGACCATATATGGCAAGTACTTTTCTGGAAAGAAAAGGCAAGGCAGGATAGATCCTGAGTTCCTATCTAGGATCAACGGAACTATGATCTGCCTGACTTGTGCTATACTATGCCACACTCTCCGGGCATGGCAAACGGGTAAGTGCAACGAGCTAAAGGACTTCAAGCCTGATATTGTTATGGGTAAGAATCTCAGAACATTCTAGTGGGCCATAGTGAAGGAGTCTGGCTAACCTGTCACCTACTTCAGACCTCTTGGCACGCCAGAGGCAAACATGGCAGAGATTTCCCACGCAGATCCAGGAGCGGGTGGTCCAAAACATCCGCCAAATTATCACCGAAAAGCTCCAGCAACAATACAGGATTCAGAATGATCGAGTAGAAGGATATGATGATGACGTTGACGCTGTAAGCGCGGAGCTCGAGCGCAGGAAATCCAACCAGCCTCCAAGCCAATCCTCCCGGGTTAGACAGACAATGACCGACTACCCTCTAGAGGCCTATTTGGGGTGCCAGGGCAGGCGGGAACAGTCGCCCCATCCCAATGTTGCTTCCGATTTTAGCCAGACGGCCATTGGACGGTCTCTTGGCTTTCATAATTTTGAACAGGATAGTCTAGACGATACACGGGAACACACCGGACGTCCGACGTCAGAGAGCGTGAGCAGTCCATGTATTTCATCGCGCGTCTCGCTTAGTCTCGATGATTCACAGTCGGGGCAGGTGACGGCTATAGAAGGACAGCAGGAAGGGAGTTTTGATTGAGAGAGAGGAGGCAACAGGTCAGTGGGACCGGGATAGTGAGTGGGCTCGACGGGGTGCATATGGGTACCGGCGGTGCCGGTAGGATCGCAAGCTTCAATAGCACCTAGTGTACTCAATAGATTGTAGTGCCGGGCCAATGTGACGCCGTACGATAGTAAATAGAGTATATGCAGCACATATCGAGATAAAATTGTAATTGGATATGGTTACCAAAAGTCCCAGAACATATGGAGCACGCCCCAACCACGGAGAGAAAATCCCGACAATGTCAATTGAAAGTGTGAAATCAGGATGGAACAGGTAGGTAATATAGTACTTGGGGCACACGGCGGGAGTAGTTCTTCGAAGTCATGAGACACAGGAGCAGGGACAGGAACTTAGGAGGAGCAGAGCAGACGAGACATGCAGTGGGAGGCAAGCAATATAGATTAAGTCATCCAAACAGAACTGGCTTTACGCAGACAGGATTAGAATGCGGGGGGAGGGTTGATGGGCATCACGGCAAGAGGCAGAAGCAGCAGAGATTCTCCAGACGCAAAGCAGGCGTGGCCAGATGGCCGGGACGCCGGGCAGGAGGTCCAGAGGTGTCTGGATGGCGGCCGGGAGTAGTAAGGGCCTCAGGACACCAGGCAGGAGGATAGGGGCCTCGGAACGCTAGGGGGGAAAGGGCATGGATTGTCAGGATGCCCAGAACCGACCTAGCAAGGGTCACAACGCAGGGGGGTTGGAGTGCCACATGTCCGGTAAGCATCACGATGCAGGAGGCTGTTGATGCGAATGTCAGCACGCAACAACGGATTAAGCGGACTTCCTGATTAACGGTTTGCGTCCTGTGCGTCCTGTGCGTCAGACACACAGGACATACAGGACGCAAGAGTAAACTTTTGCTGATGACTACCAGTTATATCTGGGAAGGCATGAGTTTTACTAAAGGGTCAATGTATGTAAAAAAAAAGTTCCTATTTCTAATCTAGCTATAGGAAGAAAAAAAAAATCTAACTTTAAAACTGGTAAAGCATGTATATCTACAAGTTATTCTATCAGTTTCCAATTTGATGCTTGATCCATGCATCTCTAACTACTCCAGGTGTTAATCCAATAAACACACAGGCCTTGGCCCTGTCCTCCAAGAGAGAAACTGCCTTGACCATCTCATCTACAGACAGCTTATCCGAATAGTAGTCCTTGAGAACTTTGATTGCTCTTTCATACTTTGAAGGCATTCCATGCTCCTGCTGATATACCATTTCATCCGTTGCGTGAGTAAGTGCTTTACTGAGTAATGTTTGAGAAACCTTGGTAGGTCTAGGTCGCTTTCTAGTTGGCGGAGTAATATCCCAAGAAGTATCAAGTGCAGGATCGATGGAGTCAGATATCTCTGACAGTAAAGAGGATTTTGTTGTGAACTTGTAAGTGGAGAGCTATGCTCAATCAGATTCTCCGAATTTCCCAGCCCACTCTGGGAATCAATGTCAAGAACTCTTAACATATTCTCTACAGAATGTGATTGGGAAATTCCAGTGGTTCTCCTGTGCTCCTCCTGACTACCATCAGCTTGTTCAATCTGAGATTGAATAGTAGCAGTACGAGCAAACATGCCCGTGGCTCAGACTCCAAGGAACAAGCTAGCTAGCTGGTTATATAAAGGAAAGCCTTTATGTCTGTACTTTGTAGCCTCTTCATGACGCTGTTAAATAATTCCCTATAATTAGTTTATAAGACTAGTATGCAAATATAAAGAGAAAAACTTACATCAAGATAAACTCTCCACACTTCAGCTGATGCAGTTGGCAAACCTCAAGCATCATCCCATCCAAAACCACAATTTTGGCAGACCGCATGAACAATATCAAACTCCTTCTTAAGCTATATTGTTATCAGCTTATATATTCTCTATAAGAAAATTCAATACTCTGAGTAGAATTGATATTAACTTACTATAACCTCCTTGCTTTTAGCTTGAGCAACTGTGAAAGGTTTGGTGCTAACTTCCTTATAGGCTGCATTGAGTTCTGCAACAACACTGAGCCAAACAGACTTTTTGAATCCATTTTCTCTACGTTCACTATTCTCAACATGTCTCAGAAGAGCTTCAACCAAGAACCTTTCACTATCTTCAACCCAGATACTGTTTCCCATTTTTGTATCATCTATTTCTCCTAACATTATCTGTTAGCTGATATAAAGTCAAGTATTACAGAGTACTAATAGTATGGGAATCAATAACTTGCCACAGGAAAAGGGCTGAATTAGTACCGTGACAATAGAGAGCTGCAAGCAGTGGACCAAAGAGTTGAATGAATCGAAGTGGAATGAGAGATGTGGTTTGATGTGTAGTTGGATGTGTGGTTTAATAGGTGGTGTTGTTGACTAGAAGATCTAGGAAGCAAACATTCAATTTTTATTATTATTTTTTTTTGCATTTGCCCTAATGTTTATTTTATGACAACTGTTTCAGGGTTACCTATTATTGTAAATCGCTGCCGAACATCTATATATTTTTTCAACACTCAAATTTTTTATTAGTATATATGCCATTTTCAACTTTTATTGTGATATATTTTTATTGGTACATGCCGAACAGGGCCTTAAACATCTTATCTCTACTTTTCTCCTCATAATTCATTGTTGAAACTGGTTCAAAATTTCATATTTAGCCAGCATTTTGATGTTGCATTATAATGCTAAGCCTCTACTTATATACCAAAATCTATGATAGTCATTTTCAAACCAGAATCCCACCTCTCCAGTTCACTCCTTATTAATTAAAAAAAAAATTGGTGCTTTTATTCTCCTTAACTTTACTCACATGTCTATGGTTTTTTCACCTAATTTAGATATACTGTTATGTAATTTATGCTCAAATGAAACCCTCCTGGTTGACACTCTTCTGTTCTTGCACCATACTATTTTTATGACGGGCATTTCACATGTTTGTCATTGACTACTCTAACCACATGACCTAATTTACAGTCTTGGCTAAGACACACTATCGATAAGCTGCAAACCTTAATTCCTTCGTCTCAACTCCCAATCCAGAGAACTTCAAACTTTCTAATTTGTTTTTCATAACCACTCAAGACCACCACCAAAAAAGGATGCCTCATGCGCCGAAATCACCCCCTCGGTTGCAACCCCCTCCGCAAGTATCCACGATACCCCATCATTCCAGAAGCCTGTACACCCCCTGGCACACTGTTCCTCCCCAAAAAATAATCTCAATCGAGCACCCGGCCATTATCAAGAACGTGGATCAAGCGATCGAGACACTGGGTGGCGCCAAAGCACTGAAAAAGGTTTCACCCTCACCCCCCCGCCTGCCATGTTCCCCACTAATAGAGCTACAAGCTCTCGGAGACCAAAGCCTCCTGCGGCCTCGACCTCCGCTTCCGGCCTGAGGATATCATGCAGCCGCCCATTCAATCGAAAACAGTCGAGACGAATAACATACTCCTTAAGATCCGCATACCGAGGCGTAAGCGTGCGCCTGGGGAGGGCCCGGATGAGCGAAGCGTGCTGGAGAAGCTGCGCGATGCAGGGGGGGGATATACCATCGAAGTCGTGGGTGGGATTGCGCGAACGGTGAGGTTTAGGGATATGGCTAATTATCAATTTAATACGGCGGATATGGAGATTGTGCGGAGGGTAAGGGTTGAGTTGGGGGGCCTGGACTGTTTGTGCTGTCCTTTTCGGGGAATTCCGTACCGTAGAGGCGGGGCTGATTTTGGGGGTATGCCATAGTTGAGAGGATCAAGAACTTTGACATCCCGCCTAGTCGTGGGCTTAGCGATCCGCGCCCTATTCTGCCCCCGCCATCATTCTCGAATACGACGATGCAGCACAACTACTACTACCGCCAGAACCCGGCCATCAAAAAGGCCCTGGTGGCCGGCAAGCCCGCACTGCTCAACCTCCAGGCCGCGCCGAAGACGCTCACGCCGATGGTGCACATCTCCACCACCACAATCCCCTTGCACCCTCCAGACTCACTGCGAGCCTACAACCTCCTCGACCGCGGGAACAAGCAGTGTGTTGACCACCTGCGCAAGCTCTTCGCCCAACGGCCCATATGGACGCGCCGCGCCCTCTTTAACTACTTCCCCAAGAACCTCCAGAGCCTCGTGCGCTTCTCCATGGTGCACGTGGCATACATGTGGCGTGCCGGGCCCTGGCGCGACACCTGCGTCGTGTACGGGCTGGACCCGCGCACGGATCCACAGTATCGGGTGTACCAGGCCGTATTCTTCCAAGTAGACACGGAGAAGACGGCCAAGGGGAGGGAAAGGGCGAGAACCGGCGGGAGCCATATATTCGACGGGAAGAACCTCGTGCGCGACGGCCGATGCTTTCAGCTCTGCGATGTCACTGACCCCCTATTACAAGGCGTGATTGACGGCGCTAGGGTTCGGTCGAAATGCGATGTTTTATCCCCCCTCTCCTTTTGCACCCCTTTACACCCCTTTGCACCACCTCACATTCTGCGCATAGTCTTACACATGTGAAATAGCACATAGACGGTTGGTACCATTCCACAACAATGAACAAAATAAAGACCATAATGCGTCTCAAGATCCGAGCACTCGCCGACGGACACACACCCGCAGATGCAGACTACGTCGACGTGCTTGAGCAGGAATCCGAGGATGAGGATCAGGAGGCCGCCAGGAAGCTGCGCGAGCAGATGGAACGGCAGGAACGTGGGAAACGGCGCTTGGAGGAACGGGTCAGGGCGACTCGGCCAACTATATCGACCGCTGAAGAAGAAGGAGAGGAGGGGGAAGAGGCGCCGGAGGAGGAAGAAGCTGAGGAAGAGGAAGAGGGAGGAGGGGAACGGGAAGGGGAAGGTGAAGAGGAGGAAGGTGCCGGGGAGTGGGGACAGGAGCTTAATCTGATAGGCGGTGTTGAAGGTGTTATTGACCCTGTGCTGCTGAACGAAGGGCATCCTGGGGTGACCCCAATGACCGCCGCTTGGGATGGGAGGGTACAGGGGGTTATGGGAGAGTTGATCGAGTAGGAAGAGATAGGCGGCAGTGGTGGGAATGAAGCTCTTTAGGTGAATAGAGGTCTCTAGTATAGTGGTTTGTTGGGGCCCAAGATGTAATTTGCTGGATAGGCCTCTGCGGTATCTCTACTGTAGTGTGTGTTGTACTACCAGTTATCCATCCAACACCCGACCGTGCTGTAATAGTGCTTATCTCTCTTGTCTGATAGGGGATGGGGATAGGCCTTGCATCATTGGGCCCCAGAGTGGTGGCCGAGTTTAGACTCGTGGCCTTGTGCCTCTCCCTCTCTTGGAGGCCAACTGAGAGAGAATTAGCGAACCCCTTTTGCAGCATTGGCTGGGTGACGTCCGGCGTCGCCATGGACTTCTGGCATAGCCTCCTCAAACTCTAGGGGTATTCCCTTAAGCATCTCCGGAAATCGTACTTTACGGGTGACGTCCTGTGATCGACTACGGACACCTCACGGTGCCTTGTCAATGGCAAGGGTCGCTCATATTTCCCGCACAAGTTTCAGGCGGCGTACTTTATAGGATAGTGACCGCCATTCTTCAAATCTGGGACACGGGGGGAGAAAAGGGAAAAGCAAGGAAAAGAACCAATGTCTATTCCGCTATAATAATTGACAAAACAAACACCAACGGCAAGCACAAAACAATCACCAGGCTTAGGTTTATCCACTCAGCCATCCCACTCCCCCGTGCCATTGCTCAATAGCCTCCACATCCGCAATAGTTAAAGCCCTTTCAGGGTTAGTTCCTATCAACAGTTAGTCCCTCGAATCCCGGCATCATGAAAGAAGCTCACTTTCTAGAATCGGGCTTCAGACAGCAGGATCCAGCACCCGGATCAGTAGCCTCAAGCGTTGTAAGTTCCGCTAGGACTGTGTTAGAATAGCCGCGAACCGTTGTCCGCTGAGCATACCTTTGCCAGGAGTCTCCTCAGTGACCTTCTCTCCGGCGGTTGGCTTAGGATCACACTTCTCGTTAATGGGGGCGTGCGCCGTATCTGTGTTCTCGCAAGCTTTGCTTCTTCTGAGAGTGCAGGAGTAGGTTCCCCTTGCTAGGCAGTCCCCGGAGAATGTTGAAACGGCCGGAGCCCGAGGAGACCCTTTTGTATCACCAGATTCCGTCTGTTCGGGAGCAGAGGAGGGCTTGGCCTGGGTCTGGTTCTTCTCAGAAGACATTTGGAGTGACAGGGGGAAAGGCGCGAATAGAGAAAAGGGTAGAGTTAATCGTTTGAGGGGTGACGTTTGTATTGGTAGTTGAGTGAAGAGCGAGGGATGAAGAAGGAAGGAAGGGAGGATAGAGGGGGTTAATATATCGATTCTGCTTGGAGAGTGCTTGGGGCGTACGACATCTGAGGGTGGCGATGATGTTGATGATTGCGTCCGTTGTGATTAAACCTAACTTACGAGTCTTTCTAGTAATATCTATAATCGTGATGACCAGCTTGTAGCAAATGCAGCCTTGCCTGTATTATCAGGTTTGGTGACGTAGATTACGCTGCGTTATGGCCCACAGTGGGCTATTCACTCCACGAAGTATCACTCGTAAGGTAGGGAATGTTGGGACCTAAGTCATAATCAGGGTTCCGTGTGTGCCGTACAACGCTTTGGTTGAAGGAACAAATAACGAAAGTTGGGTCTCGTATAGCTCTAGAATGCCCATAACTACTCTTGCAGTAGGGAGGAGCTTTAACAGAGGGCATGAGAAAACATAACGCGCGCCATAACTATCTCGTGCCCCGTCGAGCCACCGGCGTGTAAGCGACGTGAAGAAATAATTTAGCTGACCGCTTCGCGATCTTTTGCCTTGCCTTTCCTCGTTCGCCTCTTCTCGCTCCTAGCCAAATCGTCAAAGTCAGGAGAAACTACAAATCTCCCTTTCACTTGACCCAGGCTAAAAGCTGCACCCTTCCGCACCCCCTTTTCATCCACATCCTCTTCCCCCCAAGGGGAAGTCAATTTGACTACAACGGCTTCCTGTAAAAATAGACAATCGGTCCCCCGGGAAACATCCATTTCAAATGGTTCACCATCTGCCGGGTTTCCCCAGAGAATCGTCATGCGACCAGATTTGTGAACACGAAGATTGCCTGCTATACCTGGAGGAGGGAACGCTTCTAATAATGTCTGTTGAGCTTTTAAGCTTTGTTTAGGAATACTAGGGGGAGGGGGCATTTTAGTTTCCGGGGGCGCGGAGTTTGGGGGAGGGGCCGATGTTTGGGGAAGACTCGTAGTAAGAGGTATGGGGTTAATATCTGAAGGGGCTACAGTGGAGGATCCCACCCTATGCTTTTCTGTGGGTGTTAGGTTTGGGCCAGTTTGTGAGACGGGGGCATCCCATGGCCCTTTCTGTTGGATTGGGGGGGCGACAAGTTGTGGCAACATGCTCGGAAACTGGAAGAAGAAGATCTGGTTTTCGGTTTCCGAGTTCCCTGGCTCTCGCACCGCCTCATCCTGGGGATAGTTAGGAATACGAACACAACGGCGCGAAGTGAGGGATGTACTCACCATGCTAGCGTCACCGTCCTTGTCGAGCTTAATATCGGTAAAACTCCCTGCCAATTCCTCCAGTGTCTTGAGCCGATCCTTTTCCTCCACCTTTAGTTCCTCTTTCGTCTCGGCACTCGCGAGCAAGGGGTTCGCCTTGTTAGAACTCGAACGCCGTCTCTTTGTGTGTATTTTGGTTTCCTTCTTTTTTATTTCTGGAGATGAGGTAGGGGCTTTGGTTTTCCTTGAAGCCCCTGGTGAGGAAAGCCACTCAGTATTGGTGTTGTAATCCTCTGGCTCCTCTTTGACCTTAATTGAATCTTCGAGCGGGCTCTCGTTCTTGATTCTTGGGTCTAATTTGCCTTTTTTCGAGCTAGCATCTGTGTTGACCACGGTAGTCCGGTCGACGTGTTCGCTTCGAGGGACTCTGACAGGTGCACCTGCGCCCCAATGACTTGATCTGCCATCCATTACCTTATCGCCATTTTCGTCGTCAGAGTTGTCTCCATCTAGAAATGAAATATATTCCACATCCATCCTAGGACCATCAGAATCGTCCGATGATGTATATCCAGGAGTTTGCCCATCCTCGCCTTCGCCCTCAAATCTTGCTCGGGCCTTCATGTCACGTTTCGCGCCGGATCTGGCGAATTCTTTGTATTTTTCGCGACCCATGCCACGCTCAACGGCAACCTTGGATCTTGGAGCTGTAGAACGTTAGGAAACTACGCCCCGGAACGGTGAATTGACCTACCACCTGCGGAGACACTCCCCAAAGCGAAAGGCCCTGATGCTGTAGCTGGCGCATAAGCGGATACAGCGTCGTAGCTACCTCTTCCACTTCTTCCGCTTCGCCCACCCCTCCTACCTCTGGTGCCACGATCGGACCCGCTACCTCGGGGGCGAGGCGCTGGATCGGTGGCATGTTGGAACCTAGCATTGAGGTTTTCTCGTTCTCTATTTTTTGGGGGATTAGCATGGGCTGCAGAAGTTGGGTAAAAGATAGTAGGTCTAATTGCTCACTCTTGTGTGCGCCTACCAGGATTTCTGGGTTTGAACTTGACTAATGGGGCCGCCGCTCCCCGGGTATTGGTAGAAGGGGTTCGAGCCGCTGATAAACTGTCCAAACGGCCGACCGGAGGGGGTATTGGAAGATGCTGTACTGGCTCAGTTACGGAGGCTACCGCTGAAGAAGGATCTGCGCCAGCTGCTGGGTGATCATTGGAGCTTTCTAGGGGTGTAATTGAATCACCTGGATTAGATCCTGCCGCCCCTCGCCTTGCAACAGGTCGGGGTTTTGCTTTTAATTTTGGTGGCATGATGGCAGATGCGGGAGGAGTTGGGCTTGTAAAATACAAGAGGGACCAGGGGATAGCAGCGTCGGAGATTGTGTTTTTGAAGGCAGAGTATGAGTATGGTGCAAGGTGTTTAAAGGTGGGTCCTCCGGTGGAGCGGGAATTCCGTTGCAAACCGATCGGTGTTGAGCCAAGAATTGCCAAGACAACACGAGTAATATGAAAGGGTGTACCGGGGGTTGTGGGTATTAAGTCTGTCGCCAACCCGCTCATTGGCTCCAAGCTGTCTTGATCACTTAGAGGGCAGCATTTGCTTCGGCCTTGCTCCAGCCGCTGTGCCAAGAGTTCCACAGACTTTTTTCCTTTACTAAATTGTGAAAGAATCCACCAATTATGTGTTCTTGAGGGCTTCCATATACATACAAACTCGGCCTATGAGAGCAAAGTTTGACAGACTTTTACGAATACCCTAAGTACTGTACTGTATTGGAGACATACTCATGCCAAGGTTGAGGCTGCACCACACCCCATGACTGCTCACTGGCTTACCACTAAGGGTACTCTCAATGGAGTGCCTGATAGCTCAACTGTCCGGGACAGCTCAAGGGTTTTTAGGCCTTACCATAGGAACCTCCTACCTTAATATAATATCATCTAGGATGTTGCTATAGAAAGCTCAGAGCTTAAGATATTAATTTAGTAAATTCATATTATCTTCACATCTGTTTTTTAGTTTCTTTGGTAAGCATCAATAGGATGATTAGGTATTCACTAACAGATAGATATTTATATAGTTGTATTGTAATGTATTATATATAACTATGGTAATATATAATAGATCAATTGTAATATAATGTTAAGCAATAAAGTTTTTATAGCAATAAAGTTTTTATAGCAATAAAGTTTCTATAGCAATACAGTTTCTATAGCAACACACATTCTATAGCAACACAGTTTCTATAAAAATAGAGTTTCCATAGCAATGCTCAGAGACTACTAAGCTGTCAAAGACTATTGAGCTATCAGGCACTCACTTGAAACTATCTACAGTTGTAAGCCAGTAAGCAGTTATAGATTATAGTATAACTACAACCTTGACAGGACCAAATTAAGCTCTGTTTCACTGGAATGGAACTGTTCATAGCTAGGTAGTTTCAAAATGGTTGCACTATTTGAAACTACTAACTACTTCTGTTTTGGAGCAATTTCTATTAGTATTAATAGTGAATTGTTTATTACACTCTAGCAACTGTTTATAGAGGAGAGTTATTTTGACTATCATATCCTACTAAAGTTATTTTTTCCTATTTTACAGGCTAGCGAAATTAATTCTATGTTAAGTTCAAATCTTTCTAGTATAAAAAACTACCTCACCTTAATCTTTGAAAAGAAAATCACTTCTAAAAAGAAGTTTTTCTTTATTTATAAACATATAAATAAATGAGTATACTTCTCAATACAACTATGCTATTACTTCTATAATATTTCTAATAACAGTATACTAACTTAAGAAAATAGTTTACCTTTAAACACAAGAATCTAGAGCAATATGACAATATTAATACAGTTAGATGCTTGCTAAAATATTCTATGTAGATAACTAATTATCAATTAGTCTAAGTCTTCCAATCACTCTCCAGACATCTAAGATGAGGAAAATAGTAGTAGTCTTACTATAAGACATTCTAATATTTCTGCAGAGATTAAATGTGAAACTTAGATAATTGTAAAATGCTTTTCTTCATTAAGGGAAGTAAGTAAAAATCTGTAAGTCTAGTCAACTCCGAGTTAAATAAACTTCTGAGATAGCAACTATATTATTATAGGAACTAGTTCAAGCAATCATAACTATAAAACAATCAGACAATAGAGTTAAGAGAGAAGTTTAGAATAAGATGACAATTTAGTAGAAACTGTGTACTATGGTAGACTAAGCAAGAAGGAATTTTATATGAAGGTAGATTGGTAGAAGTTCTTGCCCATAATTCTCCTAAGTGAGGTGAGTAGTAACTCCTCTATAGATAGGAGTATATCTTTTATGAGAATATAAGAATGAACATGTTTAACCCTGAAAATCAACTAAGGAAATCCCATAAAACATTTGTAATTCTGAGGTAGTATGAGGGAAATATTAGGGGATGATTGCAAAACAAATAATTGATAAACATATATAAGAGATGTATAAAATGTAAGAAATAATTCTGAATATCCAATAAGAAAAGACATGTAAAATGCCCAATTGTATTATGAAAATTAAATAAAATATACTTAATATATACTCTGGCTATTGTAATGTTCTTGGTCTTGTGAATGATCAGAAATAATACCAAGTAGAGGAATATACAATATTATTAATAAGAATATACATATGGAACGAATTAGAAATTTTCAATAACTTGTACTAAGGTTGCAGCTACTAGTAGGGTACTGCAATCTCTGGAAGTTTAATAAATCAGTTTTTACAAATACTTTAAAGAGTATCTATTAGCTTAATATAACTAGATAGCTAAATATGACTTGTAGCTTAACAGAACCTTTTGTAGCTTACTATTGTGGCTCAATATAATAGCATAGACCAAGATTGCTTTATTTCTTATAGTAACTTTATAACTTAATTAAAATATTGTCTAGAAACTTTGCTAAATTTTGAAGGTTAATATAATAATATTATAGTAGATTACTGTGACTTAGCAGCTAATTGTAACATCATACTCTAATAGAACCTGAAACATTAATAAAAGCTTTACTATTGAACCTGGTAGTAACAGTTAAGAAAAATAAATGTAAACTAGATAATATTATATTAAGCTACAATGTTAAGCCACAAAAAGTTCAGTTAAGCTACCGGTAATATTGATCTATTAAGTTATATTGAGCTAATAGGCACTCTTTAGAGTATGTTTAAAAAGTTTGTCAATTTTCAGAGGTTGTAGCATTCTAGCTACAACTATAATATAAGTATAGTACTAGAGAAGGCCATGGAAAAAAATTTTAAAAAGGAAAAAAACCAATTAGCCTAGTCTCAAAGATAGCAGGACTAGTAGCTAGAAATAGTACTAGATACAGTACTACTAACTAGCTGCCCTCCTTAAGACCTTGAGGATGTATCTATATTAATTGAATATAATTCTTAATTAGCTATCTTTTACGAGACCTTAAAAATATATCTATTCCAAGGGTCTGTAAATTCCGATTAGATGTGCTTCTGAAGACCAGAAGTTTTACTATAACAGTTAAAAGAAGGACCTACTAGAGTTCATTACAAAGAAATTTTCTATAATATCTGAACCAGCAACTATATATATTAACTATAGAGGAAGCTGAGTCATAGTATTTAAATAAATAGACAGAAACCTGAACAGATAGACTTATCTATGTCCCAAGTGAGTACATGTAACTAAAGGATTAAAGCAACTATGGGACTTTCCACAACAGGAACAATTCTGAACCTCCTCTCGAATACACTCAAAGCTCCAACCGTTGACTTTAATAGCACTAACAATATGGCCCAAAGGCTGGATTGTTTGTAGTACCAAGTCAGTTCTTGTTCTATATAATTTCCCCCAACCCCATGCTTTAATTTGTGCCATTGTATAGTCTTCAAAGATATAATAGATTTTATCTTCCTGTCCTACCCATGTTATTAAGGGTATTTTAAAAATACAGTATTTGCTATCACAGTATCACTCCACCTTTGTAATATATTCCAAAATCATGATTGGCCCAAAAGCATCTTCAAAATTCTGTTCTGGCTGAAAGTATACTTACAGGACAGGATGGGATAGGATTAGTACACTCAGAAGACTGTAATGACATATTTGAGTTTGAGAAGTGTGATACTCTCTTTGAAGATTAATTCAACTCAGCTAGTACCATGATCATAGAGTCTACCTAATCAGCCATTGAGCCCTTGTTGTGAAATTTAGGATCAATGACTATGTAGGTAAAAAGACCTGAAGTAGCAGCTTTAATATTATGGTCATGAATAGAATCCTGTATCACTTTCTCCTCTATTGAGGGGTGTTTGATCTGATCTATGCTAGTACCAGTTTCATTTTTCTCTGTGGCCTTCCTTTAATCTCCTCACTCCTTATATTAGCTTGACTTTAATCCCAGATTGAAATCATGATCGTATTCTTAGTATCTTATCATGTTTCTCTGCCTTTTTCTCAATCTTGATATCTGTATTATGCTTCAAATAGTTTGGCAAAGTATTCACATTCTGTTTAATGTACTTTTGGCATACTTGTTAGACCCTTTTTGCCTCCAACTGCTTCACCTTCAATGTCAAGTTTGCCTTTTTACTAGCCGAGTCTTTGTCAACTTCTAAAACCAAAAGCATATTAATTATATCTCATAGCTCAAGGTAGGTATTATACGTAGTATCATAAGCCTTATTGTCAATATTAGTAACAGTTTCAGAAACAAGATATAATTCAATGGTACTATTAATAGGTATTACTAAAGAAGTAGAAGGAGTTGTAAGATTTAGTATTTGGTATAATAAATCAGAGACATCATTAGCTCTTACAGTTTGAGTAGTCAAGTTAATGTTCTCTGTAAATTGTACTTCACAAGACTCTTGACTTTGTGAGTTTACTACCATACTGTAGAGGTGCTGTGAACTTGACTGGGGTTGTGGCAATAGAGGACATTTGGAGGAAGGAAAGTTGTTGTATTAGGAGTCTTGTATTTCGTATATCTTAGATGATATCATGTTTAGGTTATTTTAAAATGACTACTATAACCTAGGACAGGTTTTTATTTAGCAATGTTTAATTTTCAATGATTTTTGTCAGTAGGGCTTAAGAGAGTACAAAATATATGTGCAATCCTGAACCCAGGTCAACTATAACAACAAAACAAAGACACGATTGCCAGGAGCTAACAATTCAGATCTTCAGTAGGTTTATTACTAAACTTTAGTTTCTCTAGCTATTTTACAATCTATGAACTGTATTTAGAATAATTGAATAAAATTATTTTTCTACTTTCTAAATAGTTCACTCTCTTACTAAGTACAGAATTTTCACAATTAAATAATATTTTATTAGAAATACATATGTTATAGTTCATACCATCTAAAACATATAA